CAGATTTCCGTAGTTATTTTTTTGCAGTGGCACATTCGTAATTATTTCGAGGGGTTTATAAGTTATGATTTATTGATTAAAAGTTTCTATATTTAGTCTATAAGTTTAACTTCGTAGTTCTCAGCCTAAGAACACTTCTCACTTTATGTTTTACACGGTGCATAAGCGAATTACATAAGTAATGTTCAAAAGTGCACAAATGCACAAAAAAGGTGCAAAGCTATTCAATGAAACGCGTCGTTGAAAATTTGCAAGATATTCTAATAAAAAGTGCACGAGAGATGCTAGTTGAAAATTTGATACATTTATACATTATGCATTTTTTATAAATTACGTAGTAATAAAAATCAAATAAATTTACTCTTTATATGCTCAGGTGCAAGATTTAGTTTTATAGTGCAACTTTATTTTTTACACTGTGCACTGGCAAATTAAATATGCTGTTCAAAGTGCACAAATGCAAGATAAAGGTGCAAAGCAATTCAATGAAAAGTGACATTCAAAAAGGTGCAATGTATTTTAATAAAAAGTGCATGAGAGATTCTAGTTGAGAAATGGGTACATTTATATGTTATGCGTTTTAATAAATTATTAAAAATCAAATATGCTCATGGTGAAAAATAAAAAATGGTGCTGAATTTGTAATTTCAAATATCACTTTTTATATAATTTTGTTGCACCCATCTCACACATTTGTGCATTTTAAAGGTCATATTTGTACATGCAAAAAAGTCATTATATATACAAGATGCATATATTATATAATAAATAATTTATATTTGAATTACTAATCAATTATACGTAGTGTTTGTGAGCATTTTATATAACTAACAATGTTTTAATGGAAATTATAACTTTTTGGACTTTTAAGGTTTGTTGCACTCAATGAATTGAATGATATGGAAAGTATAAAATTTAAAACAACCGTATGTAGCATTTGATAAATGATAGGCATCAATTAAAAATTGGTGGTGTTTTGCTTTTACTCTAATGCCCCTACGTGACTATTAATTTCAATTAAAATGAGTAGACTTAATTACTTTCCTTTTTCTATCCCAAATTACTAGGTAACGGTGCATTCATCTTAGTCCATCCGATTGAGAGATCAACATCACGTAGCAGTGTAGCGGTGAAGGAGAGTTGTGACATGGAGGTTGCGGGTTCGATCCCGTGCTTTGACTTCTATTTTACCGGTGGGCGTAGCTCAACTGGTAGCGAGGGAGTGCCACAAGGGTTAGGTCTCGGGTTCGAATCCCGGCAACTGCGATGAGGGGTTACTATGCTGAAAAATGCATAGGGCTTCTGCAAGTACCGGAGATAGAGCCCCACTCTCTATCTGTCAGATTGTGATTATAGTCCAATTTACATCCTCCCATCGTGCCGTCCGGTCGGTGTCGGGGGGCCCTCAGGGATGGGGTGTCATCCTTTTTTTTAGTCCATCCGATTGAGATTATTGAAGGTTAGATTTCATTCTTATTTCTCTCCTAAGGCTTCTTTCTCACCTGAACCATCCCCTATATATATATATATTGCCAACATATTGTCTATCCTAAAGAAGGCCAGGGGATCACAATCATCACATCAGGGCTGGGAAGATAGACAGGTCCAATGTGATGTACCGGCGATTTTCCAGTGCAAGGAAGGAACTCCAGTGGGCCGGATGTATCAATCTATTAACCTATGACATAAGCTAAGCCCATTGGTCAATCAGGGGATCACAATCATCACATCAAGGCTGGGAAGATAGACAGGTCCAATGTGATGTACCGGCGATTTTCCGGTGCAAGGAACTAAGGAAGGAACTCCGGTGGGCCGGATGTATCAATCTTATGAGCCTAGACAGCTTCAACTAGGCTTATATCAAAACTCCAGTAATAATTACGGGGTATTGTTGTTGACATGGAGTACGTGATAACTTGTACCTCGATGACAAGAATGAAACAATATCTACATTGGTCACTAGGACTGGTGCTTTTTAGGAGTACATATAAAGATACTTCATCTTTCGAAGTGGTCATCTACCACATTTTTACGTATCATAGACTCATTAGCAAAAGTTATTTCATTATTCTCCACAAAAAATTCTATTCTAGGAGTATGCATAGTTGGAGTATGTGACTTTGTTACTTTCTTGAGTCTCTGGAAGCATTAGACAATTGGCTTACATCATTTTGTAAATGAATAATCTTTTGAATTTCTTGTTCATATGCATTTGTGTATGAATCAAGGTAAGATAAATTTGTTGCCTTTGAGGTAATATCTTTCATATGTGGGCTCATTTCTTTATTATCCCCCTAAGATGACAGTCACTGAACCGTGCAGTGAATGAATCACGAGTCATATATTCTGGATAGTTTATAATTGCGGAGGATTTAAAACCAACATAAATTCTCAACCTTGTGTGTGGATCCTTTTTTGTACGATAAGGTAGAGCAATTGGTACACATACAGCACAATCAAATTTTTTTATGTGCGATATATTTGGTTATTTACCAGATACTAATTGCAATGGAGAATATTTATGATATGAAGTTAGCCTAAGCCGAATTAAACTTGTAGCATGCAATATAGCATATCCCCATGTAGATGATGATAATATGAAATTCATCAATATTGGTCTAGCAATTAATTGAAATCATTTAATTAAGGATTCAAAAAGACAATTTTTTGTGTGCACATGGGAACGAGATGTTTCACATCAATTTCAATTGACATACAATAATCATTAAAAGATTGAGATGTAAAATTCTCCAGCATCATCAAGTCGGATTTTCTTTATATTGAATATCCGAAAATTGTGACCTCAAAAGTATGAATTGAGAAAGCAGATTTGCAAATGCAAAAATTCTAGTCAATAAAAGACTAACATATGACTAACATGTTGATGCATTAATGAACACCGTAAAATATCGAAAGGATCCACATGGATGAGCAATCAGCCCACAAATATCTCCTTGAAATTTTGCTAAAAATGCAGGAGATTCTACTCCAATTTTATTTAAAGATGGCCTGATGATTTATTTGACAAGAGAACACACAACACATGAAAAATCACTTGATTGTGGAATCTTGACATTCTTTAACGAATGTGCAAGTGATTTTTCAATAACTTTGTGCATCATAGCACTGCCCGGATGACCTTAACAGTCATGCCACAATACAAAGGAATTGTGACCATTAATCTTCACGACATATCACATGTATCTTAATTGCATATAGCTTGGGGAATATGCTGGCATTTTTCACAAATGTATTTTTTGTCAGATCTATTTGTCGTTAGACATAAATATTCCTTTTGATTTTCAGATATGGTTTCAATATAATAACCATTTAGACGCACATTTTTAAAACTAAAAGAAATTTATGTGATTTACTGGAGTATAATGCATCCTTTATTATTAATTTTGTCCCTTTTGGGAGAATCACACATGTCATTCCAGACCCTTGAATGAGTTTAGCAACACCTGAGATTGTATTGACATTAGTTTAATGTCATATGAGAAAAATAATCTTTATTTCTGATAATGGTGTGCATTGTTCCACTTTCTATTAAACATTATTCAATGTCACTTGGAAGAATATAGCTTAACTCCTTATTTGCGGGAAGATGATGATTTCAAGGATTTGAAGAAAATCTGTGCTAATAGCGTGTTATGAAATGGAATGAAATAAGCAGAAAAGTTGGGAGAGAAAGTAAATATTAAGTACAACATTGATAGAGTTGTTAATGTTGTGTTAATTACAATGGGAGAAGACTCATATGTATATATAGAAGAAAATGTGAGCTCATTCCAATTTTGAAAACGTAAGTTGAAAATTTGTAGTCACAATTTAAACTTAATAAAAAAAATATGCGCACAAAATTTTATCAAAAAACTCGAAAACACCTCAAGCGAGTTTGACTGGACATGACTTATAGTCAGGCACGCCTGACGAGATATGCTCTCTAGTATTCAATCTTACATGGAATTTTAGCGCCATGTGTATTGCCACATTGGCAATTTCACCTGGAAACTCGTTAACGGCCTATTATGCTGCTTTGAGCGTTTTTAATGGGTTTTATTCTTGTATTAAGACTAAAAACAGGTCTTAGGATGTTTTCTTTTGGACTATTTTCAGTCCCAGACCAGACCAGATCAGATCAGACCAGACCAGACTTAAACAGACCAGACCAGACTTAAACAGACCAGACCAGACTAGACTTGGATAATTATAAAATACACAGAGACCAGACGTTTACCAGACCAGACCAACAAATTTCAGTCCAAAAGAAAACATCCTTTGAGAACAAAACACATTTACTCCTACCTTTAAATTTAATCCATGTTGACACGTTGTACTCCTATTATGAGTAATCCCTTTAAAATTTATATTTCTTGTCGATGGCATTAGTACCAAACACAGCCTTTATCTTCCCCTCCTTTCACACAGTAGTACAGTACTGATTTGGCTGCTAGATAATTTTTTTGGACTACCTATAGGAGAAAATGTGATAACTTCCACCTCATTTGTAATATAAAAAGCTGCTAATAGTGGATTGTGTGAGAATGTGAGATCTTGAAGAAATACCAGAGCCAATTGCTTAAGCAATTCAAAGGGAACAACACGACTGAACATGACAGTTATCAATAGTTTTGATTTGGTTCCATTTGTATACAAGCTGTGACACACACACAAAACATTACCTCAACAGAATAAGACAATTGCCGGAACTGGGATTGAGATTTGTGCTCACCCGTACAGAACAAAGTGCTAGGAAAAATGACTAAGAATACTTGTTGTGTAGTGTAATGTTGTAAATTTGTAATGAGATCCATGACCAAACAAGCGAAATAACATGTGTTAAAGAAAATAAGACTTTAACTCATTTATCGGAATGTGGAGATAATACCCAGTTCCCTTCCCACACAGTGCTATTTTTTTTTTTTTTTGGGGGGGGGGGGGCATGGTTTTGAGACAAAATTATCCTAAACGTAAATAATTTATGAAGTACAAACCATGTGGGTAGGCATATATAGCCTTTCAATAATAAGAAACATGTGCATGCCATTGAGTATGAACTCGTTGCTTTTGTCTAAAATCTCACCAATGCCATTACTATAGATCACACAAGGCTTTAAACATTTGTTCTTTGATCATAAAAGAAATGCCATTCTTTTCGTGTGGGGGGGGGGGGATAAAAAAAACTTTTGCGATAAACTTTGCAGAATTAAAGGCCACATATGACATATCCAAAGACTAAAGCGTATCGTAATGATAAAGTGTGTCTTTGATTGATGCAAAAGTATGTGGCAGAATGGGTAGCGCAGCTTTTATTCAACACGAAGGCTACGTGTATTAGCAGCTTTTGCTTTGTTCTGCTGCTCATCATCATCATAAAAAGCCAGGGAATAACTGGCTTTTGATTTATGTAGCTCAAATAGATTTTATCAGAAAATTGGATAGATTCAACCATCTCATCCAAATCACCCTTACCAAATGGACCCTGAATTTACCTTGTCAAAAATGTTAATTCAAGAGAGACCAACAACTCTTCCAGTGGTAGTGTCAAGGTCAATCTCATAGAAGCAAGGCCTTGTAGGGAGCCCGGGCATGGTACTCATTGTCCCAACTAATGGATAGATGAATCCCGCCCCTATGCTCGCCCTTATGTCTCTGATTGGAAGAACAAACCCACTTGGAGCTCCTTTTTCTTTAGCATCATGTGAAAACGAATACTGTGTTTTGGCCATGCAAATTGGGAGGTTGGAAAACCCTTGCTTATTGTACATCTCTATCTGTTTTTCAGCCTGGTTTGCATAGATACCAAAAAGCTTACATATAAAATTTAAAAATAAAAAATAAAAGCAGCCAATAGCAACGTGATCAGACAAAATTTCACTTTTGGGTCCTTTCAATATGTCATTTTTCCATTTTTGGTTATTCCCTTAAATATTTACCCATTTTGTATTCTAACTATAAAAAAGTTTCCATTGTTGGTCTTCTCTTTCATGGTTCCAGACAGTTGAACGCCAATTTGATAGATAAAAAGATGAAAATCTTTGTGCCAACAGTGCAATGAATCAATAATGTGACTGGAAATAAAACTCAAACAAAAACAGAAAATATTAAGAATAGATAATGAATTTCAACTATTAAAGTTCACGATTTGATAGATTATGGTCCCAATGACTAAATTCCCAACTAAAAGGGAGAAGAAATGGTGTTAAGGCGCTAAGTAAATATATTTATCATCAAACCTCAGCATAATATTCACATAACCGAAATTCTAAGAGAGCTGAAATAATAAAACTTTAAATAGTTAGTATAAAAAGTAAAAACTAGTTGATTTTAAAACGATGACCAAAAGTAGAACTTCTTGTGACTAAAAGCAATTGACAGCAATACATGGCACAAATGCACAACGCAGCACAAGAAGGGTCCCAAAAGAATAAAGCTTTTTGTGATGCCGTTTTTTATTATTACAAAATGACCTCTTGGTGACCAACTCGGAAGAGAAAAGGGTAACAAATTACATAAAACAATGTCAATCTAAACTACCATACATATGACAATATTTACCATTTAGGAAGGTGAAGCTCTTGATTTTGTCACACACTGCATATTAAGATAATTAGGGGGGTTTCTAAGTGGGTATTAACCCCACTGTCCCCACTCATTGTTCCAAAATTTGTTCAGATCCCTCGGACATAGTTAGAATGAATATTTAAATGGTAAATTGGTATTTACCTGTTCAGAGTAGTCAACACCACTAGCGCCATATGACTTTGCTATTGCCTCAATTTTATCTTTGATACCTATATCCAGAGGGTACAGGAATTTGAAAGGTTGCGAAACATTTTTGCATGCCTTTTCAACTGCAATGCCTAGGTCAACCTAAGTGTCACAAAAAAGATATAGCTAGCAGTTAACAAATTATAGTAAGCCATGATGTAACATGCTGGAATTAGGAGTAACACTAGCTGGTGCAAACATTTTTTTCTCTTCTGGACAAGCAACTATCAGGTGATTTCCACTTTTGGTCCTCCCGAATTACTTCTTCCCATTGTTGGTGTGCGACTATCGATTATTTAGCAATTTTGGTCTTTTCCAGTCACTTTTGCATGAAATGTGCCAAAGAAGTGGTCAGAAAGACTAAAAAACAAAGAGATGCCATAACACTGCACCAAAGGTGGGTGAGGGGGGGGGGGGGGTCCGGACCAAAAGTAGAAATCGCCTAAAAGACATGTGGGACCAAGATGAGAAAATTTTCCTGGTTAAAATTCAATGAACAAACAGAGAGAAAATGCATCTCTCCTGTAAGGGAACTAACCGCTCCTTTCCCACCATGCGCATGATGGGTACAAATTACAGCATCAAACGCCCCTGCCGCCATTGAAGCCTTCCTAACTTCATTCAATTCCGCTTCAGTATCTGTTGAGAATGCATTCACAGCCACAACAACATTTACACCATAAGCTTTTGTGTTAGAAATATGTTTGGCAAGATTGACACATCCCGCCTCAACAAGTGTAACATTCTCGCTCACATAAGCACGGTCGAGAGGCTTTCCCGCTGCCACTTCTGGCCCACCACCATGCATCTTGAGGGCCCTCACCGTTGCAACAATGATAGCACATTGAGGTTTCAAGCCACTATATCTACACTTTATGTTCATAAACTTCTCTGTCCCGATATCGGAACCGAATCCTGCCTCGGTCACCACGAAACCTCCGGGTCCTACGAGCTTCAATGCAATCTTATCGGCAACTATGGATGAGTTCCCATGCGCAATATTTGCAAACGGCCCCGCGTGGACAAGGACAGGTGTACCCTCGAGAGTCTGCATGAGGGTGGGGTTGATTGCATCTTTCATCAAGACCGTCAAAGCACCCCCGACGCCGAGATCATCTGCTGTGATAGGATAGCCGGCCTTGCTGTTCCCAATTACCATTTTACCCAGCCTTTCCCTCATATCGGCTAGGGACGTCGTGAGTGCTAAAACTGCCATTACTTCACTAGCTACAGAAATATCAAACCCTGTCTCTCTCACCATACCCTTTTCTTCGGGACCCTGCCCAATTGTAATCTTTCTTAAGAAGCGGTCATTAACATCCATAACTCTCCTCCATGTTATGGATGAAGGATCAATGTCCAATCTCGAAAACTTTGTGACTTCTTCTGAGGTAAGCTCGTCGGGATTAGTCTTGTCAATGCCGAGTGTCTTCAAACGCCTAAGCATGACATCGCTGAATCTTCGGTTTCCATTCTTGTCGGGGGGACATAACCGGTTGAAAAGTGCTTTGTCGGACTGGGTCGATTCATGGAAGATCCTGGTATCAATAGCAGCTGCTAAAAGGTTGTTTGATGCGGTTATTGCATGGATATCCCCTGTTAAGTGAAGGTTGAACTCGTCCATTGGAATCACTTGGCTATAGCCACCACCTGCTGCCCCGCCCTTGATTCCAAAAGTTGGTCCTTGTGATGGTTGGCGGAGGCACGTTACAACCTGGGATCACAGCAAGGAGACAAATGGAGGAGACAATATGTACATATCCTTCCCTTATATGTGAAGTAGATTATCTCACGCACAACACATGAATAGTACTACCTCCATCTTACTAAGAAAAGTGAGTTTGTGTGGTTGATATTGAATTGATAAAATAAGAATAAAGTGGGAATTATTTAGAACCACACAAATTTTACCGAATTTGGTATGAGACAATCTTAGTGGAACGGACCAAAAGGGAAAGATGAGACAATCTTAGCGGGACGGAGGGAGTAATTTAAAAGGTATACTAACACCGAGGCTCCTACATGATAAGGGTCAGTTTAGATCTCGAAATATATTAGGGAAGGAAAATAGGAATTTTGGAAGAAAAGATAAAGTGTGGGTAGGAACAAAACAATGATTTGAACTCAATTAATCAGTTTTATATATTTGTTCAAATTCTATATATTTATATTATATAAAGGCACTAAGAAATCTAAATAGAAGCAAAATTTTATAAGCTTTTAAAAAAATTAGATTTTTGTTCATATTTATCTATGCACAGTCAAACGTTAAAAACAATTTTCCTTCGCTCTTTTTTGTGTTCCCTGCCATTATCCAAATTCCAAACATAGCCTAAGGGGGGTTCATGGAAGGGTTTATCTGGGTCACATTTATCTTGTTTTTGCAAGGAGATGGATTCAAAGCCTCCATGACAACAATTTACAGAGGTTTAGTTCTTTAAATAGTCCTCATATATATTGATGGCAGCTGTATCCTGAATGTAAAAAATACCAAACCACAATATTTAAAAATAAAAACTGTTTTTCACTCTGCAAGACTTATGGGCAGGCTAACACTCTCAAGATCCGAGACCACAACAAACAATAGCAATATAATATGTTTCAGTTTTTACTCATTGTATAATAATGTTTCTATGCAAGTATAATGTGGCAAATCACGAAGTACCTAACATTTCTGTGTGTTAAAAAATATTACCAAGTAAAGACTGTTATATGTTAAAGGGAGACAATGAGGTCATACAACATACCTTTTTATCAAGAAAAGCACCCAATGCTTGACAAAGGCCAACGGTAGTAGTGGACTTTCCTTCTCCAAGAGGGGTTGGAGTTATCCCACCAACTACCACATAATACCCATCTTGACCTCCTCCAATCGAATCAAGCGCAGACAAAAGGACCTACAACTTCCCACAACATCAATTATTTCTCTCAATATATATGCTTAGGAAATGCAAATATGATGGGAAACTTATGACTCGCTCCACCCCAAATAAACAGTCCTACGTGAAGACTAATTTCAAGTCGTTAAAAGAGCCCTATTTGAACTGAAGAACCTAACTTCCATTATCTTTGAAGCATTTTTTTAAATGCCCTAACACCAAACAAGTTAACTATGTTGCGTACTTACATTTAGTTAACAAGCAAATAAGTTCGAAGACATAGCTCAAATTATTATTTGGATGAATGACATACACGTTTCAAAAATTTCTGCCACTCTGTCTTTATTTATGGTTGATAGTAGACGTGGACCTGGAAAGTTGAGACAGTCACAATGCCTTCGATTTACAATCGCTGAGTGGGTCTGGGAACATTTGGGCTACCCTGTGGAGTTGGGGTTGGTTGGTTGGCTGGACCAACCTCTAGCGGAACAACACAAGTGCCAAGACAGCGTCACGGTCTCTGTTCAGAGCTCTTCTGAGCTTGGCATGTTTCCTTACCTAACTATATCCATGAATCACGGAGAAGCCTTTGCGCTTTTAGTTAGTTACTCTAGACTAGCAGTGAGGGATGGACCACACCATAATTAGGCCAATGGATCACACGCTCACCATTTAGGTCAATACCTATCCACCCATCAGTGGAGCGGGGTATTCCTACTTCTTTCTATTCAATTACATTCTCACTCCAGATATGTTTTCCTACCCATTTCCCAAACGACCGTCAATAGCATTTGTGTACCACTTGGTTTATACAGTATGTATTAATGAGTAGATCGGTACTTGATTAAAGAAAGAAAAAATACACTCCCCCCATAATACAAGCACCCGTAAGCACAACGGTAAAAATGCAGCAAAGGGTGTGAGCCTCATCTTCATGATAAAACCAAATTCTAAGGATATACTCAGGTCCCGAAATTTTATTCCTAGTTTAACTTTTGAAATGATTACTAAGGATATGAAATGGTAAGATTATGGCTGACTAGAGAAGAAGAAAGAGAAGCATGACTAGCCTCACAAATGTTTCCTAAACGGGAGAACATTCTGGACGCCCCAAAGAGTAATACAAGAAGAAAGTATGGGTTAAAAAGCAGCGAAAAACAGGTAAGGGGGGGAATTCAATACAGAGAAACGCGATTCACCTTGGCTTTATACTTGCCGTAGAGATCGTAGTGTTCTGTGGCGAGGTTGAGTTCCTGGGCAATCTCAGAGATATGAAGAGGCTCCACAGAGTTTGCAATATCTATATCTGCCGGAACAGGCGAAACCACTTGCAAATTCCTCGTCGTCTTCCCCATCTATATATTATGTCTTGGGTTTCCTTCCCCTCAATCTGTGAATGTTGAGCTCCGAGTTTCAGACGGTCTATTGATTGATTGGCGGAATTTTGAGGGATTGAAAAGAAACATGAAGATTGCTCCAATCAGTCAGTAGGAAGAACAGACAAACGGTGATATGATTGGCAGCTGAGAAGGTGAATGGGAAAGAAAGATAGATCCGGTGAGTTACCAACGGTCAGCCGGGAGGAAAGTGTAAAAATAAATATATTACGGAATAAAAATAGCGAAAAACTACCAACAAAAACAATGGAGATGCGGGGTATCGATCCCCGTACCTCTCGCATGCTAAGCGAGCGCTCTACCATCTGAGCTACATCCCCTATTCAATCCAAACATGCTGGGAAGCCTACTAGATGTTTACAATTAATGCTCTTGACTAACTCACTAACCCATAATTTTTTTATTTAATACTTCAAAAAAAAAATTTAGTAATTCGTGTGTTATATTTGAGATTTAAATATATGGGGTTTTGGACATGAATATTAGTGAAAAATTGGTATTGGATAAAAATGTGACCTTTTTTCTTAGTTCACAAAAAATGTGACTCATAATTCCATTCTTTACTCAATTATCCTTCTTAAGTTTTACGCGCCGTACTGGTGCAATGAAAACCTTAGAAATGCACACTTGCACACCATGGACTATGGAGTATGGATGGCTGGTGCTTTTTTTAATTGAATACTCTTTTTGTACTTGGTACAATAACTTTATTTCTATAATATTATTTTAATGTTTTAAATTATTTTAAAAGATGAGTATTAGGATATGAAAATTAAGTGACAACTATCCCAGACTCCCAGTGACCAACGTTCCAGTTATTACTGCTCCAATGATCACTGTCTCAGTTACTGCTATCGATCAAGTGACATCCGTCGCAATTACTAATATCGTTAAGTGATATCGTTTCGATTACTACCACTCAAAGATGGCCGTCCCGGTTACTATTATCGCTCCGGTGACATCGTTTCAGTTGCTACCGCTCAAGTAACCACTATCTCAGTTACTATTGCCACTCCAATGAGATCTCAACCAGTCATAGTTACTAGACACGCCAATTACAGTTACAGTTACTACTGCTCAAATGATCAAGCGACAACCGTCCCAATTATTAATATCGCTCAAGTGACATCGTTTCAATTACTACCACTCGAATATGACCATCCCAGTTACTATAACTGCTCGAGTGACATCATTTGAGTTACTACCGCTCAAGTAATCACTATCTCAGTTACTATTGCCTCTCCAGTGACATCTCCACCGAACCCCGAACCCTGAACCCTGAACCTTGAACCCTGAACCCTGACCCTACCTCGACCCTACCCTATTGTGACCACCACACTTACGGCCGATGAAACTAATGCCACCCCGGCGGTGGCCGACAGTGCACTGTCGATGACCATCCGCACCCCTTGCCCCTAACCCTCCACAGAATCTCCCTTTCCAGCCCATCCTCTCTCCAGCGGGACTGCAACCCCCGACCACCGCCTCCCCTGCCACTGCACCACACCCCCAGACCCACCCCATGCCCCACCAGTCCACCCCAACCCCTCCCTTTCCCCCACCAGTCCAGCCCCTCCCCCTGCCCCACTAGTCCACCCCATGTCCCACCAACCCACCCCTATTAGACTCCACTTGTCCCAGCCTACCCCAACCCACAGCTTCACCTTCAGAACCAAGCAGCCATCACCTAGCCTCACCCTCAGATAGCAGACACCGACCCCAACCCTCAGCCCACATCTTCCAATCCTAGGACTCAAGCGCACCACTGGAACTGTAGTTGCGATCTCTCTGTTGACCGACGTACTCAACTCCGTCGGTCGCCGCACTATCGCTCGCCTCGCCTCGTTATCTTCATATCCGAATATTTCTTTTTTCTTTTTTTGCAAGGAGATCCGAAGATTTCTGACCTCGTCCATCAACACCAAGGAGGTGTTTACTTCGCTGCTAAAGTCACAGTTAGGTTAGTAAGACAGGTGAAGTAAACACGCACGCTACTTAAAAAGCCGCTTACTAACCGAAAGAGCTGCTTAAAGTGTCGCTTACTAAGCATACCACCCGCCATGTATTAATTAAGTGGTACTTTAAGCATTTTTTGTTTCCGAATTTACCCATTGTCCTTACCCTATTGTTACCCCTCTACCCGCTACCCACACCCCGCCCCAACCCTACTACCTAGACCCGACCCCACCCTACCCACTACCTCCATCCTCGTACCTTACCCGTTACCCCTATCCTACCTACCCTACCCCCTATCACTTGCCCCTAGGCCCACCCTGATCTTGCCCCCACCCTACCGCCATCCTAACCCTACCCCCTTACCGTACCTTACCCCACCCTACACTACCCTTACCCTGACCCACCCCACCCTCCCCCTACCACAACCCCACCCTATCGCCATCCCACCCCTACCCCCTTATCCTACCTTACCATGACCCCGACCCCACGCTACCTTACCCCGACCCACCCCCTACCATGGCCCCACCCTCTCGCCATCTACCCCTACCCCTACCTTACCCCGACCCCACCCTACCCCACCCCTACCCTACCACATGCTGTTATCTCGGCCCCACCTTGATCCCGACCCCACCCTACCGCCATCCTACCCTACCCCCCTTACCCTGACCCGACCCCACCGTACCCTAGTACCCCAGTCCTACCCCTACCCTACCTTACCCCGACCCCACCCTTACGCCTAACCACGACCCTACCCCACTCCCTACCACTTGCCCCTAGGCCCCACCCCAACCCCAACCCCAACCCTATCCCTTACCACCCTACCCCACCCCTACCATACCTGACGTGCACTTTGTCGTGAGTGCACTCAAAGTAAATTCAATACAACACTTATACGTAGTATAGCGTAGTAGAGTTCGTATCCACAGGGAAAGGAATAACTTTCTTTTTATATAAATAGTAAATAAAAAGGGGGGGTTTTGATCGAGTGATTTGATTAAAATTAAACACGAAGGTGAACGAGTTATGTGGTTTAATTCAAAGATAAAAGGGGCTTGGTATTGCTACTTTCCACTTGTTGATATATTTTAGTCGATCATTGTTATATCTATAACTTATCTCCTCTCGAATACTCAATCGAGGAGTATATCCAATTCATCGAGGATAGTTATTAACAACGACCGTTCATTAATAACCCTTATTATTAGTCAAGTATAGAACAACGCCATATACCGACTTGATAATAGCATTTAATCTTTTAACTCCTTGATGAAATCAATTGAGATTGATAACCTTAACACAACGGTTTCGGTTTAACCAACAAAATTAATCCCTCTTAAGTTTATTAACCACGACCGTGCATTAATAGACCGAAGTTACTTACTTGTGAAACTATCAACGATTAACCATCGGTTCGTTGATAATTTCTAGTAATAATTGATGTATGAAACAAAACTAGTTGATCCTTTAAGTAATGTTCAAAACATTAATATGAAATATGAATAGGAATTAATTAATACTCAAGGAAGAATATTAAAGGGAATGAATCCTACTATAGTTAAATATCAAGATGTTAACTAATTGTCATCTTAGCAACACTCCCCGATATTAACATAGAGGAAGGAATAGCTATTACTAAAACCAATGCCAAGATGTTAACTAATTGTCATCTTAGCAACACTCCCCAACATTGATATAGAAATAGTATTTAAGAGAAGCATTAATATTCAAGGAAAGAAGTTAAGAAAATAACTCACAACTTTCATAACCAACAAGCTTCAAGAGCAATACCAAGAAATGGAAGTTTAGCTCCTCATTTGGAGACTAAACATGCTAAAAGAAATATAGAGAAATGCTATTCTAAACTGAGCTTAAGAGTATATAGGAATTGGTCTCTAAAAGTGAAGGAAAGGAGGTGTATTTATAGGCTTTTTGAGGTGCAGGATCGAGTACTCGATCGAGTATATATACATACTCGATCGAGTATGTGTAGAACATCGAATTCGCCCTATACTCGATCAATACTCGGGTAGTTTTTATAGCTATACCCGATCGAGTATATAAGTATACCCGATCGGGTATAGACACTCGAACGTGGGAAAATCTTCTCCTGCATGTTCCTTTGTTTTCGGATCCGATCCGATTTGAAATGTCAACCAGATACCCGATCGAGTATATGTATATACTCGATCGAGTATAGACCAAAATCAGGATTTTTCCTTCTTTTTGTCTTGTACTCTTGCACCTTCCTTCACCATTGATCATTTGATTGATCTTGGACCTGTTTAAGCTCAGAATAAACCTAATCTAAACAAATTACAAGAATTTAACAAACTAAACTATTACACCGAAAGTGTGTAATTTCCGAGATATTAAACAACCAAAACTAGCTAAAAACGTAAATAGACACACGGAAATTACAAACGTATCAACTCCCCCACACTTAGTTCTTTACTCGTCCTCGAGTAAAGTCAAAATGTTTCGAACAGTTTTAAGATCATTCCATGAGTTCAAGAAAGAAAGGAACTAAGACCACCAAGAAATACGAAAATGATTTTACAAAACAATATTTTTTTTCTTGGGTTTTATGATCTTCTATGCTCCATCTTCTTGCCTCTTCTTCTTTGCCTTCTCCTCTTTCTCTTCAAGAGATCAAATGAGTTCCTGCACACAACAAATACTTCTCTCATATCTCTCATTTTGCCTAGGAGCCTTTTCAGGTTTTCATCCTAGCATCTCTTTTCTTTTCCTCTCTCACCACTCACTCATTTTATTTTGTAAGCCTTTGTTGCTTAGATTGCCCATTTTGTTGGGTTTTCAACCTAACTAGCATTTCTTTTCTTTTATTCTTTTTTTTTTTTTTTGTGTAACTTATAGTACAAGAGAATAATGCTTAGTACAAGGTAGAAAAAAAACAGTAAATGGAACATACCAAAAGATGTAGTCCTCCCCCACACTTAGTTTCGCACTGTCCCTAGTGCCCGCCTTCTCCACCGTAGAAGCCGCCTCCAAATCCGCCTCCAAAGCTTCCGTCACCCATATGAGTATCCCCGCCGTCCCCGCCGTCATAACCTCCACCCCCGGAGCTTGATCCTCCAAAGTTGCCCCATTGAGTGGGGTCATACCAAGAGGGGGGTGGTGGTGGTTGAGCCATGGTGTGGAATTGGCCTTGATGAGCCATGTAAGAATACATAGGTCCATAGAACCTACGTTGATCTTCTTCATACCTTCGGTTGTCTTCGGCC